ATCGAACATATTTCCATACTAGTGGAAGGAGGCAAAAGCAGCTATATTCTTAAAGCTGGCAAGGATTGCATCGGTGCCCGCCACTACGGACCCATTTCGCTGGCATGATGCGTGTGCAGGGTATTTGACGAGATAATAAGTGCGCGACTAATGTCGTTTTTAGAGCCGAACAACACGCTGTCTAACACACAGCGTGGTTTAAGGAGAAACCGGAACACTCTTGAACATTTTATTGACTTGTACATAGCCACCAGGGAGTCCTTTAAACGCCGACATCATGTCATAGCTGTCTTTTTACATCAACAAAACATTTGACACTACCTGGAATCCTGATGAAGCTGTACGCGTGTGGTGTGCGAAGCCAGGTGGGTTAGTTTTTGTTGAAATTGTCTCGGCACGGTCAACGGAGCCCCTCACGGATGAATTCTGAGTTTGCCGCTGTTCGCATTTGTGGCGAACGTTATAGGTGACGAATTTTTTTGCTTACTTCGGTCGTCATTATTGGTGCATAATTTCCCACTCCGGATTTGAACCATCAGAGAAGAGACAGTAGCTCTGTTCGCACAGCACACCTTCCTCCCGTCAGTAGGGTAAAGTGGGGTTATTTGGGCACGCTGATAAGTTGATCTATCCCCCATATCTCCCCTCCCAAGACTCCGCTGTTTCCGGCTGGCTGCCTGGTGGCACATTTGGGAAGATAGATATTTCCTGTTTTGATGCGAGCGGCGGCAGTCGGGCAATGCGTGCGCGGTGAGCATTAATCCGATTTTATGGAATTTGTGTATTTTTTTCCGAAATGTGTAATTTTTCTCTCATCATTTACATGGAAGATATCGTTCGTTTATTGACTTCCGTAAATTTGGTCATGTCTGCTCCTAAGATCGTCATATATTTCGCGCGACTGAGCTTGAAAACCAATATCATCAACCACGCTCCCTTCTTTATCACGTCGTAGTGGGGCAGCTTGTTCCAACACGAATGTGGGCATGTTGGTCATGGCTCAACTTAACCCGAAGAAGGGGCGGCACACCAGAGGCTACGTGTCTGGCTCGTGCCAGCGCTTTCAGTAAGCACACAGTGGAAGCATTGTTTGATGACTTGAAGAGAGGGTAAGAAAAACACCCACCTTCGCCGGAGGGCATCTACAACGTTGATGAAACGGACGTAGCCACGATGCAGACACCGAAACAAGGGCTGGAGAAAAAATCGAAGCAGGTGGGCTCCATCGCTTACGCAGAAAGAGGAGAGTTGTGCACGCTGCTTTGCGCAGCCAACGCCGTAGAATTATGCCCCACCGCTTGTCATCTTTCCTAGAAAGAGCTTCAAGAACCACTTCCTTCGAGGCGCACCTACAGGCACTGCAGGATGTGCAACGAAGACGGATTGGTAGGCGAGTAAATATTCATCAAATACCTCGCCCACTTTCAAAGATTCACCCGGTATTCGGCAGAGCAAAAGATCCTTACCATTCTAGACAATCACGCCAATCATATCTCACTTCAGACTAGTGAGCTCGCTCGCGCCAACAGAGTCATGCTTCTTACGTTTCCGCCGCTCACTTTTCACTGCCTTCAGCCTGTGGAAGCGGTTTTCGGTCCGCTAAAGACCCACTACAGCAGGGCAATGACGAGCTGAATGCAGCCAGCAGGGCGAGACGGTGACAATCTATGACGTCCCACAAATCATGGATATTGTGTACACCAACGACTCCACCGGGTCTAGCATTCAGTCTGCATTTACAGTAACTGGGATCTTCCTCGTCAACAGAGAAGTCTTTCCATAGCACGCATTCTCCCCGGCAGATGTCACTGGCTGGCCGCTACAGGATACCTCCGGCGCCAAATCAAGTGGTACCCTGCAGGGAGCGAGCGCCACAGGCGCCGGACCAGGTAGCGCCCCGCATGGAGCTGAGACCTCCGGTGCGGGACCAGGTGACGCCCTGCAGGGAACGGCACATCTGGCGCTGGACCAGGTAGCGCCCTGCATGGAGCTGAGACCTCCGGTGCGGGACCAGGTGACGCCCTGCAGGGAACGGCACATCTGGCGCTGGACGAGGTAGCGCCCCGCGTGGAGCTGAGACCTCCGGTGCAGGACCAGGTGGCGCCCTGCAGGGAGCGGCACGTCTGGCGCTGGACCAGGTAGCACCCTGCAGGGAGCGGGTGCCCCCGGCGTGGGACCATCCTTTTACGGACTGGGATGGGATCCGATGGAACCGTGATGGACGCAACAGTCCCTACGCTGCGATGGAAGACATGTTACCCATGCCAAGAGCTCCACCGCGAACGAGTCGGACAGGCAGTCGTAAGCGAGGGAGAGTGATGGTAATGACATCGACTTCTAAAAGAAGCGACTCCAGCAAGAACAGCAGAAAGAGGAGAACGAGCCGGGTAGCAAAACCACAAGGCGGAAAAGCGAACCGGAATTCATCGAAGAAGAGAATTCCGTCTTCCGACGATCATAGCGATCAAAATGAAGAAGCCCTATCACATTTTATTATGTAACAGCCAGGAACACCTATGCATTCTTACAGATGGCAAATACTGCCTAATTCGCATTACTACGTGGAACATATTACCTCACCCGCGGGACAATATGCGCAGTCGGACGTCGCCCTGCCAATTAGAAATGATGTTTATTATATGGAAAGTTACATATATCACTGCTACACTTATATGTAAACAGAAGATCAGCGTCTCATCATGTATAGTCAAAAGCTCAAAATTTTCATTCATCTTATCAGCTTATCAAAATGTAAAAAGTGCTCATGTTACACTGTTTTACCCTAAGCTGCGAGCAGGCGTACAGTGCTCTGAGAGAAGCCCAGGGGAAGCCTTAGGCTGCATTTTCCACTAAAAATGAGCAATTTTCAGAGAAGTCGCCCTGAGCAACCATTTTGCCCTCGTTGGCAGTAGCCTTTGAGTGGGCAAAGTGCTGACCCTGTCCATCAGCTACAAAGTAGTGTCTGGTCAATTTTTCGGTTTGCTGACTAAACGATCTCACGACGTCCTCCTTTATTCCGACGAGTTCCAGCAGCGCACAGCGATCTGTGCTCACCCCGGTCTATGATCAGTCTCACCATAAGTCCATTACTCCACCCTCACCAGGACAGCCCTTGCGACCCCCCGTCACGCAGTCACGGTTTTCCGCGGCACACACAGCGTAATGAAGGAGGTCACGATATTTCAAATCAGGGAGGTCGACAGCGGATACAAGCAGGTTTTGATTTTGATATGTGCACACGTGTGCCGAATGCTTACTGCTGCTGCCTGCCAAGACGCAGTGCTTCGTTTAAAGTGTAGCAAATGCCGAGAAGCCGACAAAAGGACTTTTTATTTCCGCTTGTGAACATCATACACTTCACGCAAGTTCCCAAGACAAGTCTTTTTTGCTTTCTATTGTTGCTTCCATCGAGCTGTCGGACTGCGGTACAGTCGTCCTTGCCCGCACACATCCGGCTGACCAGGTCCGACTCGTAAAACAGCTTTACCTCCGTCTTGTCCCCGTCAGGAAAACTCAGAACTTTATCCGCTTTAGGGATCTCTGGCGAGAGACTATGTGGCTTTCGTAGTTGGCGGCCCCTCCTGACCATGCGCACAGGACCACCTTTTGTTTGGGCCCGGTCAGGTAACATGACAGCCGTTTGCCTTTTTGCTGTTCGCGGCTTGAGAGGTGGGCTGGAAAAAATACTCATTGATGATTTTTTTTGTGGCTGGGATAATGGTAGCGTGTGCTCTCCTTTCAATAGATCAAAAGCTACCTCATGTGCAATATATTTGATCCTTCACAGCAGCGTCGCTAAGCTGTCTTGCCTGACCTCCCCCCCCCCCCCCCTCCTCTCATGATGCTCGAGTGATGATGACACTGTCATCATCACTCGGCCATCACTCGGCCTCTGTGAAGGTGAAAAACGTACAAATTTTTCCTGGAACTGGGAGACCCGCTCCCGACAAAATTATTTCATTACAATTTAGGGATTACAATTTAGGGATCCCGACCCTTTTGTACACTTAAATGACAAAAATAAGGGGAAATGATGCAGTTTCTCACCCAGTTGCATGTTCAGCGACAGTGACCTCACCCAAAATTTAACAGTTGGATTGAGGGCATAAGGTCAACTCCCTGAACAAATTTCATCAAAATATGAAACATTTGGTGTCATGCCTCTCTCGATTTGTCGTGGAATGCCCGAACATCCTTCTCTGTGGCCTTGTGTTTCGACTGTTCCAAACACAAGTGAGCGAAGCCGTTCAGCGAGGCCAGGGCCGGTCCGCACAGCGCCTGACGGAGGCAGTGTAAACTGCGGCTGGGAGTAAACAGGCGGCCAAGTTAACGAGCAAGGCCGCTCACAACGTGGCAGTTGATAAGACAAGGTGTGTGTCTGTACCAATTTGCAGCTTTGCCAGCGCGCTGTGGCTGGACGATGGCTCATTCCGTCATTCAAATTAAATGTTTCGGACGCCCAAGTGCAGTTTTAAACTATCAGTGGACAGGAACTCAAATGTAGGTTATTTTCTTGTCTAGCTTTTTTTGAAGTACGCGTCACTTAGGAATAAGCCTCACATCTGTGACAGGAATTTTGCTGATAACACTAATGACGAAAATGGAAGATGCATATTTACTGAGCGTGCACCTCGTTTCGCCAAACTCGACCGTGGTCGCTCATGGCGACCCCGCACAACGAGACAGTTGCGACGGCGGCCGCCTCGTCTCCTGCGGCAGCCGGGGCGGAGACGTTGGGATTAGCGGTGGGGGCCGCCGCGACAACGACCAGGGTGACGCTGGGTATGCGAGCCGCAAGTGGCATGCGGCACGAGGTTGTGGGCGTGTTGAAGTCAGGAAAGCACAAGACGTCTGGCAGCCAGGATCTCGGTCACCTATCTGGTGCCCGCTGCGGGCGGCCGACGAAGTGGCTCCCAGTGACGTCAGCGGTAGCTCGCGCAGAGTACACAACCCACCAGATGACTTTACACCGGATGTAATGCCTTGCCGGCCTCAAACAAGCACGCGGTGTCTCACGGTGGGGGCGTGATTGTTGTATCTTGAAGGTAAGGTGATATAATCCGACAGTGTTTGCGGATATTTGTCTTTATTGGGTGCATTATGGGAGGCTCCTGTGCATTGCGTGCACTAAAGGTGTTGTAAAAGGAGATCTGGTTGTAAATGTGCGCCCAAGCTTGTATTTTTTCCCATTGTCATGTATCTTTTTTTGGATTTGCTTATTGGCGCGTCCGGCCGAGTAAAAACTATTTAACGAATAATTATCTCTCCGATAATCGTCTGCGGGAGCCTCCATTCATACTCAGTCGGTCCAAATATTATCTCCCATGTTAGGTTAGGTCTCCCTCCCTTGCGCCATCCGCAGCCAACGGTGATAGCTATACATAGCGACAGCAGGTTCTCCGTCTTGTCCATGCTCTGAAGATTCTCCGGGATTCTCCCTCACTACCGTAGATTATCTGGTATAATTTTTGGTGTCAACGGCGCCGAAGGCCATTCCGGAATTTGTTTATTATTGTAAAATCCTGGATAATTTCCTGAACTCATCTGTCGGCCGAATGCGCCCTGCACATTCATTTTTTTATTATCGATCGTCGCGATCATCGTGTGTGGGTTTAATAAGTCATCTTATCTGCATAAGATGCATATAAGTTTTATCCCGATAGGTGTATATGAGAGTCAGTTATCACCTTATCATGAAAGCCCAATGTCTTATAACATGACACAGATAAATGAATGTGTACAAGCATTGATATCACCGGCGTGGGCCTGGCTCTTCCAAAAACGAGCTGATTCAACAAGTGTACACCACAAACCACACAATAACGGTGTCAATGGAAGCATCAGACATTTCTGAATGCCTCCAGCACATCTGTTCAGCTCTATGTGTGATATGATTGCAATAAATTGTGATTTCCACCCATTTGCCGTTGCGACCTTCTTAATTCGCACCGACCAACCCATAAATTTGCGGTGCGACTGGCACCCAATCATGCGAAGATGGTAAAGGTCACCAACGCGTCCAGCTGATCGTACGATGACGTCACGTAGCGACAAACAGCCATCCTGGAAATGGCTCACGCGCGCGGAAGACCGGCAAGCCCATTATGCCATATGGGCGTTTCTCGTCACACGTGCGGCCCCTAGCAGACAGACGGTGACAGACAAAATAGTGCAGACAGGCACACGGAGACCGAAAAGAACCGGTCAGAAGAGAACGGGGCTGCACAGAACTAGACGGAGCCGGACCAGGCCGGACGAGACTAGTGGAACGTCATGAAACGAGACGAAAACGGACGAAACCCCTCTGCAGGGCAGGCCGGGCAGGACCAGAGCAGACGAACCGGGTGGAACCGTACAAGATCTGATGGCTTCAGATGGGACGGACGTAAGCGGTCCGGGCCGAATGGGATCAGACGGCACGGGTTTGACCGGACGAAACTGAACAGAACGAGATTGGATCGGCGGGACCGGACGGAACCAGGAGGGACCGTACCGAACCGGACAGGATCGGACGGGTCTAAACGTTATCGAAAGAAACCGTTGGAACAGAATATGACTACATGGAACCGGGCGAAACGTCATGAGGCAAAATGGAACCAGACCAAATGAGACGTAACCGGATGGGACCAGATGGGACGGGAACGGGTAAAACAGAATGGCATCTTATGGGACCAGATGGGACCGGATGAGGCCGGACTGGACCCGGACTGAAACAGACGGGAGCAGACGGGCCCTGGCGGAATCGGATGGCACCGGATATGACCGGACAGAAGCGAATAGAAAATAACCGGACCTGCCCGAACCGGACGGAGTCGGACGGAACCAGACGGGGTCAGACGCTGCCAGACTAGGTCAGACTGCGAGACGTGGCTAGACGTGGCCGTGCGGGGTCGGGTGGAATCGGGCGGCATTGGACGTGACCGATTGGAGCCGGACGCCGCAGAATGGAATAAGATCGCCGCGTAGGATGGAATGTTACGAGAGGCGAAACGAGATTGGGTGGAACCATATGGGCCTAGACGGCGCTGGACTGTACCGGATGGAACTGGACGAGACCTGATGGGATGGTATGGAACCGGATAAGACATGGCACCGGGCTAGACTGGATGGAGCACAACGGAGCCACACATGACTTGACGGTATGGGACCGGATCGGGCAGCAACGGAAGTGGTCACTAGGAACGGACGGGTCAGGACGGGACCAGGCGGGACCGGCTCGGACCAGCCGGCACCATATGAGACCAGAAGGGGCCGGTCGAGACCCGTCCCGGCCCGTTTTTTATTGTTGTGGCCATATGATCCCGTCTGGTCCCGCCCATTTCCGTCTGGTCCTGCCCAGTCCCCTCGGGTCCCGCCCAGCCCCCTCTGGTTCCGCCCAGCCCCGTCTGGTCCCGCCCAGCCCCGTCTGGTCCGGCTTAGTTCCGTCTGCTCCCGCCCAGTTCTGTCTGATCCCGCCCGGTCCCGTCTGGTCCCGCCCAGTCCCGTCTAGTCCCGCCCAGTCCCGCCCAGTCCCCGCCCAGTCCCCGCCCAGTCCCCGCCCAGTCCCCGCCCAGTCCCGTCTGGTCCCGCCCAGTCCCGTCTGGTCCCGCCCAGTCCCGTCTGGTCCCGCCCAGTCCCGTCTGGTCCCGCCCAGTCCCGTCTGGTCCCGCCCAGTCCCGTGTGGTCCCGCCCAGTCCCGTGTGGTCCCGCCCAGTCCCGTCTGGTCCCGCCCAGTCCCGTCTGGTTCCGCCCAGTCCCGTCTGGTTTGGTCTGGTCCAATTCGGTTCCTTCCAGTCCTGTCAAGCCGTTTCTTGTCCCGTCCAGTCTGGTCCAGTTGCATCCGGTTCCTTCCTGTCCCGTTTCATTACGTCAAATGCCGCACGTATTGCCTATTCCTGTGCAACCTCGTCCGGTCCGGCACGGTCCTTACCAACTTTGCCCGGCCCCGTCTGGACTCATTACGCTCTATCCGGCACCGTCCGGTCCCGTTCGGTCTCGTCCGGTCTCGTCCGGTTCTATCCGTCGCGTCTGGTAGTGTTTGATATCTTTTGACCCCGCCCTGTTCGGTTCGATTGCTCCCAAACCCACTCGGTCACATCCTGTCAGTTCGGCCCATTCATAGCCATCGGACCGTCCGGAGCCATCCGATTTCATCTGGTCTCATTTCGTTTCATCCGATTCCATTCGGTCCTGCCCCATCGCGTCCGGTCCCGTCCGGCTCTATTCAGCTCCGTCTGAGCCTATGTGATTCCGTCTCGTGCCGTCCGGTCCCGCGAGCAACTAATATCAGGTTGGCAGTGACATTTCTTTTTATGACGTCACAATCAGCTGAAAATATTTGCGACGGTTGTTGTCGCATAATTCATTGCCCGCCGCACTGTAGGCCTGGAGGCACGCGTTCGGTGCGCAGATAATATCCAAAAAATTATCCAGAGTGTTGGAGAAAACGATTCTGTAATGGCGTTCGGCACTGCCATCGCGAAGAATTACCCCAGATAACTTTCTATACCGAGGGAAAATCCCGGAAAATTCTCTGAGCATGAACAGGACGGAGAACTTTTCATCACCATGCGTAGCCATGACTGCTGGCGGCGCATGGCGTATGGGAGACATTCTGGGGGATAATTTCCAGACCTGTGGAACGTAAAAGGAGAATCATCGCTGATGATTTTTGGAGAGATAATTATTCGTTGAATTATTTTCCCTCGGCCGAACGCGCCATAGGTTTACGTGTCGGTTTATGCGGACTGACTGGATAGTGCGTATGAGGTAAAACGTTTACCGCCACACTATGGTATAGAGAGCTAAATGAAAGTGCTTTAAGTATTCAAACATGTCTGGTGCATCTGCTGATACCAACATTTTGCGGGTTTCGTGCTACATTCGATTGATTGAGACCACGTTGGTTAGTGCGCGACCAACGCCTGCGTAACTGAAATACTTATAAATGTATGTTGGATCTACTTTTACCAAGACTGTGTGATTTTCATATTAGATGAGGTAAATGCAGACCATTTAAAGAAATGTGAGGCATATTTTAGGGGCTCCAGCACTTCAAAGATTTGGTGGATGTAAACCTGACTCCACGATCCCATTCTGAAGCTTTGCATTACCGGGAACTTTTTCGGCAAAAGCTTCCTGAAGTGCAACGCTTTGTATGAAACATGCTTGACTTGGCCGCCCTCACTGGCAGCAAGCTGTCCCTGTGAGAGGAAAACACTTCAGTTTCCTCACGATTTCTCAATAAGCTCTGACCTTTCCTCTGCATCTTAAAGAAAATCCTGGTTGCGCCCCCAGTGAGGATTATTGTTGTACTCGGACGGACCACCCAGGACTGCAATAAACGCGACCCAACCCACAAGCATTTTGGGTGGCTGTACAGATGTGGACCTGGGTATGTTATTTGGCAGTCGTACATAGCACTGTTCAGTCAGCACGCTCAATCATCAGGCTTGACTGCTTTTTAAACTGTACCCCTTTGGAATTTCGTCCATTTTGCAGAATATTTCATTTGCGAACTTACAAATGGGCATGAAGGAGCATCCTTGCTCCAACCATTCTTGTCATTTATTGGGAATCATCAAAACGTCCAAAATTGCGGCTCCCAGTACACGTATTATCCTCAATCTCACCATCCAACGTTCATAGCATCCAAAACGCGTCCAGTTCCGTTCCTAATGGCGGTTTTCGCATAACCCAGACTCGCCACGTCCAAATTTATAAGGCCCATTGCACATACCATCCGGCGATCAAACCGTCCATAATAATAAGAAACGTTCGACACTTAAGTACGAGTTCTATCTCCTGTTGTTAGGAGGAACCGTCCATAATAATAAGAAACGTTCGACACTTACTTAAGTATGAGTTTCAACTCCTGTCGTTAGGAGGCAAAGCAATACCATGTTTTCCTCATAGATAAGACAGTGGTATCAGCCTTATTCCTCGGAAAACCAGGGGAATGGAGATGTAGTTAGGTTGATATTTCGGTAACGTGCCTTCATCGAAACAATAGCAGAAGTGATACAACAGCACAGTGGTGAAACAACGGCACTTCTGGCATTGTTTCGATGAAGGCATGTTGCCGAAATATCAACCTAATTATAACCCTGTTCTTCTGTTTTTTCCGAGGAATAAGACTGATACTGCTGTCTCATCGATGTGAATAATGTTCGTCGCTAATGCGCTGAACAACTTAATTTTGAGCCATGTTTTCCACTTTTGCCAATAGATGGCATAGTCACCCGGCGTTCAATTCATGATCACGTGATGGCGACAATAGAACAAGGCAGCACGAATTTCCCATAGTGCCTGGCTGTTGTTGGTCCTACGTCCGGCCCCAACATAGACTCCGTAGCACAAGGGAGCCTATGTCCCACAGGTACTGAATGATTCACAATGCAACATGGCGCCTACCACGTTCTTTTTTCAAGGATTTTTTTTGTAGCCCCTGAAACAGCCCGCCTTTCCTGTCGGGTGAGGGGCAGGCGAAACCATACAGCCTCAGCAGCTGAGTGCGCCGTAAAACCTCACTGACACGCACACGGAACCGGATCCCATGGTCGCTGGCACCACGTGTGATTCTCCGACAAATTAGAAACCTTTCAGCCCATCAACTCCTTCGACAAAATGATTCGCGAAACATCGCCAATGCAATCAAGCAAGCAATTGAGCCCAATACCATAGGGGCTTTATCCACAAGTTCCAACGATAAACAGGTGGTGATTTGGCAAGAGGCTTGCACGAACACCGCGCAACCACTGCCGGGTCATCAGAAAGCTCCGAGACCGAGGTCTTGAGTTCTGAATTGTTCAGATTTTCAATATGATTGCTACCGAATGCGTGCTGACTTGACAAAGTGGGCTTGCGTAAACAGAACGTTCGTGGCTAAGCATAGTGATACTCATCGGGCGATACTGTGCACCGGATGACGTCACTCGTCGCAACGCAAAATCGGCTGCGGTATCCGTTTATGGCATAATACCGGAACCAATAGTTCCAAATTGACCAGTAGGTGGCATTGTTCTCCAAATTTTTTTAGTTGGGTAACGCTGGATGTCATAAACTGGATATTATGCATTGGTTGTTATGAACTTGACGCTTTGAATAGGATGCTGTGAGCTTGAATGTTGTGATTTTTCCTTATTCCGGAGCGTCGGAAGATTTTTGAAGTGAACGCTGCATGCAGCGACAATTGACGCTATGACATCTAAATGTTTCAATATGCATCCTTATTTAACTCATCACACTAGCACACATGTAGGAAAGTATTTGATCCCTTTGTTTTTTGCCCTCTCTTTCCAGGCGGTAGAATCACCAGTGATGGCCCAGAGTACCTCGCCAATATTCCTCAATGATGACGCCGTGGCATCACATTTGCGGTGGAAGCCCCTGTTGGAGGCTGTGGGGCAGAGCATGGCAGAATTCTCCAGAAGAGATGGCGCTGTATGCCAACCTGTGCGCATTTCCATCCCATTGGCACAGCATGATGGGTTAGTTGGCCGAACTGTGATGTGGATGCTGCTTTCTTTTGTTTGAACTGTGGAATGTGCCAATGTCTCTTGTTTTGATTCGTTTTGTCCAGAAGTCGACGGAACTGAGAGTTGCTGAGGCGGGCAGAAATGCATGGATTGGGGTCGTAAGCCATATGTTTCTGCGCATTGTCATCAGACCCCACCGAAATGCGTTGATAGCACAACCGCTCTACGGCATACTTTCCCTGCTCACCCAGCGGGTTCGCGTGTTCAAGTTAACTGTGAACTGAACTGAGCTGACCTGGACTGAGCTGTGCTCCGAATTCCTATCGCGCTAATTTGTATCAACCCGGCACCAAACGAGCGATGGCTGTATGATCTCGTGCCGATTTATTTACCTTTTTTGTCTGGAGGAGCCAAATTTTCTCGGCCCGCCAGGCAAGAGTTCTCATGCCCGGTACTCCGTGAATTTGTCGCCTGTTCTGATATACTCGGTGTTCTCAGAAGCTCGATTGGTAACGTGACGCATTCATAATCGAAAGGTCGTGGGTTTGAAGCCGGGCCGGTCTAAAAATTATGCCAGTATTCTAGAAAGTACGCTGAGTTGTTCGATAACAGCCAATACGTGCTGTCGGTGCAAAAATGCAACGCTCAACTCCTTGAGAGTTTATTGCGACGAGTCTGGGCACATGTCCATTTAAATGTTAAATATATTAACTAATGTAGCGTTTGCACCACTGCACATTCAGTTACGGGCTGAGAAATGTTAAGTACAAACTACACATTTAACCTGCCCTGAACATGGAGTGTATTTTAGTTTTGTACTGCAATCTATATAGTGAACTTCGTTCCTCCATCCATTTATTGCCCCGGATTACCATTGCACGCGCACGCCCAACAGGCTTAACTTATAGATTTTGTGTGCATCCATGTGATTGATCTAGGCGCTTAAGGAAGAGCATGATACGAATCGTTTGGGAGAGTGCAATTTTGTCCTTATTTTTTTGTGTCGTCTTTTTGTCGCGTGAATTGAAATGAATGGTAGGTTTCCGTTTAAGCATTAAGGGATGTGCTGTGTGCATCACGAGGGAAATATAAACAGTTATTTTAACCGTTATCTAAATTCACCTGACTTTCTCCTCATCACCGCTTCACAGTTGGTTCGGCTCAATGTCAGCGTACAGCCGGCAAGCTAGCAGCATTGCCACAAAGCTGGTAACGAGCTACCCAAACAACATCAGCTGTCCCAAGATTCAATCAACTGTACTGCTGCACTGTCCGGAGGATGGCAGACTTCTGGCGGTATGTCGCCTGAAACATGACTATAACGGGTGTCATGTGGAGACATCGGCGTGTTCGTAGCATCCGTAACTCTAACGCCAAAATTTCAGACTTCTGTCTGTGTTAATCGTTCATGTTATCTTTATCTCGCTTGTTTCGGATAATGGCAATGACAACTACGATGGGAAATCTGATGGCACTTCTTCTAGCTACTGCTCACCACATGCCATTGTCGTAAACCAGCCGGAGTCGCTGTGTCGTGGGCATGCCACGGTACCGTGTGTTGCGCCGTCGGCTGGCTGGCGGCGGGTTCGGCGGGTCGCGGCCGTTCTCGCCGCTGTCACCGCCACTGACTGCTGTGCCGCAGCTGATGTCCGGGGAGCACATTACGGCCGGCCGCACGGCGGCCGCCTCCGTTGTGGCCGCGTGCCGCCTGGCCCCCTCCTGCCAGGTGCTGGCCGTGCTTGGCTCGGGCGTACAGGCGCGTTCGCATGCCCAGGCGTTCGTGGCTGCCGATTGCGGCGTAGAAGAGGTCAGTGGTCTGTGCGGAGCAGGTAGTGTTAACAGACACTGGGGACATGGTACATGGCGGGCGCGGATAGGGGAACCAGGTGCTGTGTCAGTGGTCATCTTTAGCCGGTTATTGCCGTTGTGGGGGGCAGCTAGCGTTCAGATCATTCAAAATGGAAAGGGTTGGAGATTTTGTGCAGGTTGCTTTATGTCGATTATTCTGGATCAAGAAAAGCAGACTAAATACAAAAATCGACCTTATTTAAATGAAAGCATGTTAACTGAAAACCACTGCAAAAGTATAAAGAAGATTCGATTTCTGCCACTACCAAAAGTATCTTCAGGATTTTTCTAACCTAATTTGGGAGCTTGGCTCACTGGTACCACTATTGCTCGAAGCCTGTGCAGTTGCCACCAGTCTCGCGCGTTGAAAACCATGTTAATAGGTTGAACACTGCGGCATTCTGGACCTCGTCACTGTGGTTACTATTGCAAGGCCAAATCAGTCTTAAGGGATTTGTCTCGTTAAGACTTAATAGTTCTGATGCGATCTCCTTTATAAATGCATTGGTAAAATGGTTGCCGTGCCGTCTGTCAATGTCGTGGGCGTCCATAGTGCAAGTGTGTGTGTGAATGGCCGCGCTCTGCCTTATTGGCCAGTGCCCCAATTAGCAGTGTGTTGATCTGCCAGCAACCTGGGTAGTGATGCAAGGCTCCTGTATGAAATTGCATTTTCCATGTCACTTGGAAATGTATTTTAGTTTAGTTTAAGCATGTTCTGATCGATAGGGTGTTGCACTGCGTACAGCCTGCAAATTACTCTGTAACTAAAGCGTATGGCAGTGATTGAACCACATATTTGGTTCAAGTTTTATTTTGATTCAGTGCTGGATCACAGGAAAAACATCAACTCTTTTCTACTGAGTGAATTCACTTTACTGAGGCACGTATTCGTTATCTTACTGGTGTGTTCCAGGCGAACTTTCGCGGTGGTTGTTATTGTGGAGCTGTCGTGCGTGATATGTTCATGTATGGTGTAACTAGATGTAACCATCACTGGTATGGCGATGTCCAAACTCCAATATCGTTGGGATATATCTAATTTTTTTGTGATTTGACCATATTGACACTTCATTATCCTTAATTAACCATGCATACGTTAATGACATTGTCATTTCCTGTTTGCCCTCCTAATGGGAATAACCGCACTTTAATGATCTTATGCCACGGTATATCGTCTTATCTATCTTGTCACATATCCGTGAGCAGTGTCACTTCTGCTCCCGGCCAGGTACGAATTTCTGCTCGAAACGCCGTAGCGGCCACTCAGCTGACTTCATCTCTGGCTGATGAGTTCCCTGGCGTCCGGTTTGTGTACTACGAGTCTGCCCGGCTGTGTGTAGATGGTGCGGACGTCATCAACACCACCACGGCTTCCCCCGATCCCATTCTCATGGACAACTGGGTCGGCAAGGATGGCGTCCATATCAACGGTAATTCTGTAAATTACAAGCGCAGGCCGCTTTTAGCTCTTGCCTGCATAATCTCAGGTAGCTTATATTTGATGTGTTCTTGCATTCCTGCACTCTAGGACAGGCAATACCGGTCGGGGTGTTTACTTTATATGAAGCTTTATGAGGGATCCCTTTGAGGAAATTGAACTCCTAAACACAGTGATCTGCACTGAACAAAATCATCTGAATTGTCCTGCTGCATGTCTGCACTCCTCAGTACACCGCATGACCCAAATTAGTGACTTCGGGTCAGAGGTGGTGGCAAGTTATATTCTCCTCTAACTTCCAGTCATATTATTTTATGACTCACAGTGGTGTGAGACCACCCTCCACTTGCAGAGAATGGGGGGGGGGGGGCGTTGACACTCGCCCATATAACTCCGGAGTCAAGCATACGCCGGCTACGCTCACTTTAACGACAAAATTTGGAATGGGGGTCATGGAGATGTCATAGGTCAAGGTCAGTCCAACAATTCTGAAGTGTTTTGAACTCCATGCAATCGCAACTGGAAATCAATCCCGCAGTGCGAATTGCACCTGTTGGCTCGCTGCAGTCTGTAGTGTTAAGTTGGACCACATCACAGGCAGCCATCCGCCGTCAGTCATGCTCAGGGTCGTATAAGACCTTTCAACATAAAGTTCTACGATGCAAGCTTTGGGCGTCGAGGTCAGGACAGCCTTGAAATTCCTTTCACAACGCTTGCGTTGCCGTTCGCTTTGAACAGTTGTGATTGCATATTTCATAAGCGATGGCCTTGGAGGAGCTGATGGGTAGTCTATGTAACATTTTAACTGAGAACTTACATGAGTTCAGCGGTAGTCTAAATTGACCTCTCGTGACATTGCGAACACAGCAACGTGTGAGATGACCCTAAATGCTTGTTTTTCGCGCAGTAGGAAGCCTTCATATAGTTCATAACATGGACGTTGCCACTCTGAACAACCGTGGCTGTAAGATTTGTTTTAACCTGACTTTCTGTTGCTATCGGCATCATATGTTGGTGTAACGTCACATTGTGACTACCATAACGCGCCAAAAAGTATTTACACGCGTGCGAGAAAATGTTTCCAGAGGAAATCGATGAAGGTCAAGCAAATGAAAATAATTTGCTCAATTGTACAACATAGTTGTCTTTATGAGGATATTTTGATATCGCAAAGGACGGGGTGCGTGCAGAGCCTGACGGGCCTACACCCTGGCTAACCTCTGCGCGCTGTCGGCCCAGTGGTTGGGGGCCGCGTGCCCCACAAGACGGAGCTGGAGCCGGCCCTTCTGCGACGCGCCACTGTCTACACCGACAGCCGGGAGGGGGCCGCCCGTGAGATGGGCCCGATAAATGTCGACATCTATGGGGAAGTTGGCGAAGTTTTAAATGAAACACTTCCCGTGAAGAGCGGCGGCGTTACTGCGTTCCTGTCGTTCGGTAAGAGGTGGTTTCAGAAACCTAGAACGATGTCTAAAATCAGCTTGCTAGCTTGGGAGGAGGTACGTATTTCCACTTGCCGCGAACAGCATAAGTCCACACGTGGCGTGCTGCTAAAATCAAGGATGAGCCGGGGGTAGCCTCTGACCATTGGCCAGTGCTCACTGACTAGTGACTGACCGGACCTGGACAGGGGCTCGTGTCCATCACGCGCCTGGTCATTACCCGTTACCCGATGTGCGACAATGACAGGTGGTGCATTGTGTTCCAGGCATGGCCGTGGAGGACGTGGTGGCGGCCCGGTTGGTGTGGGACAGCTACTGCGCTTCCCAGTCACCGTGCTAAGTCAGCACAGTCGTCTGCGAACCTGCACTGTCGCCCCCAACCCGGGGCTGCGCTTGGCGGAGCCGGCACCGCGACGCCGGTGCCCGCAGCACGGCCACCGCGCGGGCCTTAGAGTGGGGCGTAGTCGGATCATTTATCGCGACGTCGACCGTTAGGTGGAGTCTTGTTTGTGCTGGAACTTACCCGATTTTTATAGACATTGGGATGTATGCTACCATAGTGGGGTCTAGTCAACTTCTGTATATCATATACTTACAGCGTGATGCGCGCGCCAGGATTCCTGGTATTGGGGTCAGTATTGGTGGCTGATGCGGTTCGCCATGACCTGTTCACGTACCTGTTCACACGTCATCGCCGCGTGACGTAGCTGGGTCAGCCCCCGCACGGCAGCCAGCGGAGCCACCGGTCATGTCGGGTTTCTCCTGCGCGCCAGTCCGTCCTGGGACGGCAGCTGCAGACAAGCTGTGGTGCGCTGGATACAGGGTATGAAACACCAGTGGCACGTGTGTAGCTGCCAGCGATGGAGCAGCGCGGCTGATCGTGGCTAGCCGTGTCCAGTTTGGATCGTGTCGCTTCGCTAGCAAGAGCGTCAAAGACGCCATTGTCTTTGGTACAAATGCCAGCGCTGTTCTGAGATGTTGCTTGGCGACACAGTGGTGGCCTTTGATGCTGTCGGCGCGGTGCTCGGTGAACTGCATTGGCAGCTCGTGTTTTCGAGCAAGGTAAAGGCACGGGTGCCCACTGCCACGTTATGACAGCTACATGTGTGGGCTTAGGATGGGGGAATTTTGTACAAATCGCGTTTTCGGCGCGGCGGGAAATATATATTACCAATCATCTTGCTTAATTTGCCATGCTACTATGGCATCGCCTGCAGCGCGCGAAGTAATCAAACATGTTTGGATTGCGTTGAAGGAGTTTTACAAGTTAAATTTGAGGGTTCTGGGAATGCAGGTCACGGACGCTGATTATACGCATCTTGAGATAAATGAACCCTGTTCGGCAGCTTTCGATCTGGAAATGAATCTACTGCGGGCGTTGACCCAAAATAGCGCATACTTTGATATACACGTCACGTTGCAGACGAATATTTCGCTAAATGCCCAGACTCTCCGTTGGCGACTCCGACCGGGACCATCCGTCTCCGCCGGTGCTGATTGGCCGAGGGCCGGACAGGCCCCTTTGCCGGGCCGGTCACATCTCGACGGCGTGGAGCGAGCCAACGGCCAGCTTTATTTGTGGTCGCGTGTGCCCCGCAGCGAATCTACGAATCCTTAGACGCGATGCGGGCGATAGCCAGGTCCGTAGACATCGGGCCGTATGTGTGCTACAATGGCTCTGTCTTCGTGTGAAACAATGGTGAACGGCTGAGCCGCCAATGCGGCTTCCTTGATAGTACGTTGCCAAGACCACTTACCCCATTGGCGAAGCATCTACTTGAGGCTTCTGCCAATGACGTCACAAATATTTACAGCACATGATCGTGACTCCAAGCCGTTGGAGCCGTCGTGATGCTATTAGCTTGGACGTCATAGTCTGCGTTTTGTGAGCGACACTTGGCAGCGGAGAACGCGACCCAGGGCGGGAACTACAGGGCCCGGTTCCTCATTGATTTATGACCCAAGCCCCGTCCATTGCAGTGGCACCGCGGAGATTTTGATGGTGATAATGATGATCGGATTGGCCCTTACAGCACCGCAAATCTGTGCTTAAATATGATGCTGTAACTGGAACAGTAAGGATAGAGTCTCTATTTTTCATGTTGCTGTAACCGTTTATCTTCAGAGGACAGATCGACACGGCGTCCGCCGCCTGGTGTCACTTGCGTTGGCAAGCGCTGTTCGGTTTTCTTCAGAGATATTGAGGATCCCCTGAACATAGGTTGTAGATCGATATGGGGTCGAAAAAACTGCATCGGCCTGGCAGATCCGTGTTCGTTTTAATATGTTCAGTGTTAAGTCAGAATTGATCACTGATGAAAATCATGTAACATGGTTTTGAACATGCGCGCTCGCCAACCTCAGCAACAACAGCCTCGATGCCCTGCGTTACAGTCTCCATAGGCCGCGCGGCGTCGGGTCCGAGGCTATGATGTTATATCATGGCCAATGGACAAACGAAAGGGATGAAGCATATTGAAAACGATGCTTGATGAGGTTGGTAAATCGGCATGTATGTTTAAGGTAGTACAAAAGCAAACTAAACGTTTTTTTTTTATTTGAAAAAGGGCGGAAGGCATTTCGGGTCCCACCTTGAAAAGTGGGGGCCTATGACCCCCTTCCCCCCCTCTCCCCGTTCCTACACCCATGACACAACTAACAGCAGCCCACTGCCTTGCAGCGCCAACGCACTACCGCGTGGCAAGCAATCGAGCCTATCTTTCCCAAATGGCCGAAGCTTTAAAACGCTGCGTAGCAAACTGATCATGCTCGTCGCAAGATGCTGTGGCCAGCTTCAATTCTTACGAATAGTTATGAGCCTAGTTTATTGGCATGTTATACTGTTGAGTATGTGAAGTGAATCTTGGCTGAAAAAATCTGAGAAAAGCACTGATCTGAGGGTTGTTGGAAAAACACTATATCGCGGCTGATTCGTAACGTCAGCACTGATATAGTGTAGTTTGTAGCATGTGTCTGCCACCTGCTGAAAACTATCCTGATTAAAGCTACTGTCTTTGGCAGCATGTCATATCATGGCTCAACTTGCTCATACAGTCAAACGTCAACGTTTCGACATGTACTCTACACATGGTCACGCCGCAAGCGTTAGCGGGTATAGACCAATACTAAGCTTTGAGCTTCGTATAACTGGAATGAACTGTTGTAATATGGTTCGGCCCGTTGATATTTGTTTTCATCTTTGCGATTCTGTCACCAATTGGTTCACAAAGGTGGCAGTTTTTGCTACCGATCATATCCGGTAAATCAGAAGTTTTTTACCCCATCCACCGGCCACCTGTGCACTGAGATGCAACGTATTGCGTTTTATCTTCTTTGTTTCGTGCGGTTCGTAGCATTTTTAGGTATATTGCAACAATTTAAGACAAACTGGAGTACAGGTGAAAATTTAAGCTGTTCCAAATTTCGCCTGTGTCAGAAAAGGCACTTTTGATGCCCTGAGCGTAGCGCCCAAAAACGTAACGTTCGTATGCTCCCTGATTCACCTAGAGGTTCGAAACAAAGATTATTCAAACACATTGTTGCCATGCTGTCATGAGAGGAAGTAAACGACATACGGCTGAAAGGTTGTACAGTATTTAAAACAAGGCCAGCATTATATACAGGCTGCAAACCCACCTTTTCCTATTTTTTCTGTCTTACTCAGTCATCACTGTCCGCGGTATTCAACACACTGCGCAGTGTGCAGACGTCCTGGGCTCGCGGGGCGAGCACATTCCTGACGAGCACCGGGCACGACGCAGCGATGCTCCGTGTCTCGCGCTAGCCTTTCGGCTGTCCACCTCTCACGGCGGCTTTTCTTCTGCACGAGCGCTCATCTACCGCCGATGCGCTCCAGGTCCTCCCTGACGCCGAAAGGTAGAACCCCATGTATTTATTTTTGGCCACAGCGCGCGTTGGTATATCAGTTGGCTCGTCTTCTACAGCTGAATTCCGTTTGGCATTGGCAGTCATCATTTGGCGCAATGAACTGGTTCGCGGGTAGGATAAGCAGATTGACAACGTGGCTGAAGAACGAGTGAACTTAGTTAGTTGTTGGGTTTTATGGGCGCGTTGGCTGCATTGGCCATTTGAGTCGACGTGCAATCTTACCAGTCATCGAACCCGCTGAAATAGATTAATGAGTTCAAAGGTTGATAGCACGAAAGGTGTTTTCACCATACCCTGCGTCCAATATTCCTCTCTTAGTGTAAGCTGGGCTGTGTTAACCGAGTCACAGTATGAAACACATTATCTGTTGGGAATGCTGTTGATGCCCATGCCACGTGGTACTATACGCACAGTCAATAATTATAAAGCCCTGCTCTGGGCCTTACCCCTCATTGGCATGGAAAAAGTTACAAATAGCAGTGCATTTATGCTTCGGCCGCTGGCCTATTGAAACAAATATGGTGCACTTCAAGTGACGATCAAAATTCAAGGTGGTTTGATTGGAGACATCAGTATCATTAGTAACATAGCATTCAGCACACCGATCAGTCTATTGCACAATAGCTGTTAAGACAAAGGCCTGTTCCGAACTACCAATACATGCACCTCGATTTCATAGCTTTCTGTTGCTACCAAGGGAGAACAAAGCCAAGATAATCATTCTACGCATAGGTAATGTTCCTCGCAGCTTCATAAAACAACTCACCTAGTTCTTATTATATTTGACAGGTAACGCCGCTGCTATCACTGTCTGGTTTGTCCAGTTTAACTAAACAAACGCTACAATACGTTTCAAACAGGGACGCTCCATATAAATTGCTTGCATAGTCAGGTCATAAAATACAGCCAAGCACAACACGCGTTACTATGAGGCGAAACGCGCGGAGTGCGTTCGGCGCCCACCCCGTCGTCTTCGTGCGGCGGCGGGCCGTGGCCATCCCCCGGTGGAGCGACGAGCCGCACTTATCCTCGAGTAGCGCGGTGGGTCTTTGTTATCATCGAATCTCCCCGAAATCGCCCTCCTGACGTTGCTGCTTGACGCCTTCTTGTCATTACTAGCCCGCCTCTGAAACCGGCACGAGTTTCAGGCTAAATGACTTCGCGACACACTGAGCCTGTGTCACGGGTCCTATAGAGAGGCTTCTGAGGTCCTGAGAGGCACCGAAGTGCTGCCGTTAAATCGAGACCAGCTCTGTGTGGTATGAAATCTAGCGCTCTCTGAACAAAACACGCATAAAGCTCTGTTTTCGTTTCCACTACGCATCCATGCATTGAAAAACTTTGAAATACTTTTTTTAACGTTTCTATTTGATTTTAGTGCATACTAAACACTTGGCATGGAAAATATAATTTTTGATGCAATCTCATTAACATTCAATAGGTAAACGACATGTAACCAAGTAAGAATATATTTGTTATATTGAACGAGACCCTTTGCAGACATTTCTTCAGTACATGTCTTTAGTTTAACCTTCTTGGAAAAAGCTAGGCCTGGCAATAAGTATTTGCGTCACTCGAATGCGTTAGATGCCAGCTGCTCCATTATCGTTTAGATGAGAGCTGTATGGAGCAAGGCAGGCTTGAGGAACAGTCCATTCAACGCTTAATATTGTCATATCGGTTAAAGGTATGTAAGCCTTGCTAACTCTGTAAGTACTATGAGCAAGCTCTGTAAGTAGTAAGTAATGTAAGCTCTGTCAGCACTGCATGCCTATGAGGGGGACACTACAACGGTAGAGGAATTTGTGTTGTCTCATCTGCGTCAGAGATGCAACCGAACATTTTTAAAGCGTTTTTAAAATTTTCGGCAGGAAGAAGTCTGGCACCATGCCTGTCCGCGAAAGCATGGTCTTGCTTATAACCAGTCAGCTGCAATTCTATGAAATTCTGCGTCCTTACCAACCCGTTTTTAAATCTCTGCGAAGCATTTGTAGCCGAAAATCGTTGATAAAGGGTGTGGGTAGAAAACCAACACCAAATAATTTAGTTCATTTCAAGAAGTTTGCTCCGTAATCCTTAATGAAAACGGCTAGCATGTGAAGCTCTTGGATGCGACGTGCCTCCCCCGTTAACCAGCACTGAACCCTGCGGTTGCAGATGTTTGGCCGCGGCCGTGTGACGTCATCGTCACCGCGTTACGTCATTGCTCACCTGGGGCGCTGGCGGCGGCCCCTCAGGCGCCGCGGCCCGGTGGCGGCCGCGGAGTCCTCCCACCTCACTGCTCGGCCGCCGGCGGGCCGCACGACTCGGGCGTTGGCGAGAAGACGTACAGGTGCTCTGCCTCGACCACCTGCCTGAAGGAAGCGAGCCGCGGTCGGATGGGACTGCGACGGAATGGCAGCGGACGGGCTGACAAACATTCATGGATATAGGCTGTAGCCTTAGGATTACATAAACCTGTCAGAACTCACATGGTTTGTAAGCCGGCGCGCATTGGAACAAACCCTCTGCATGCGCTCCCAAATCATGCAATACATAATTAAAATCACCTGTTATATCATGCACTAGCCAATCAAACATTGCAGTGAAAGAAAACGGGAGAGAAAGCGACTTCCGGTGGACAAGCGGACCAAGCCATGGGGAAAGGTCCAGGTGTGGCCCTTTGAACAGGCTCTCCCAACGTTGGTCTCGGTCCTCTCAGTATTCGATCCAAACCTCCAAGATTTCTAAAGGCAGTATAAAAACTATAATCGTTGGGGAAACCAAGTCTTGACTCATCCCTCCAATCACCTCTGAGATTTATATTAAGACGATAGCCTTCGGGGCATAATAAGTCGATGGCACACGTATGTAGGTCAAGCCTTGGATACATGAAATGACTTTTCGAGAGAAATAGCGTGGTCTAGGACTCACATACAATCGAGAGCAATCAAAACCAAAATCAATGCAATTTCTCTAGCAGCCACTTGCCATTGCTGTGTTTAGATTTGGACACATACATTTCATGCAGATGCGGACTGGGTTATAGTTAGGCACGTGAACGCAGACTATGCGGTTGGCCATCGCTGTCGGTAGGCCGGTCCCCTGGCTAGATGTATCTCTTTCGGTACCTGCACAGCTCGTGCAGAAGGAAGAGCTGGAGCTGACAGCGCCAGCTGTTACAGCCGATGGGTATCACGTGATGCTGGCAGCGGAGCGGCGCGCAGGAGTTCAGGGCTCGCATCTCACCCTCCAGGACAGACTCGCTGAAGCGTGAGTACGCAAGCAGAATCTGAAGGTAGCATCACGCGTTACGGTACACAAAGATCATGTAACACCATGCCGTACATTTAATAGTGATTCAAAATGCATTGCAATGAACATGAACCACTCTACGCACCATGACAAAGTTGATGAGGCTAAGAAAATCTTCGGGAGCCGGAGCTCTAATACCATTTATTCTGTAGTTACCTATAAAATATATCTGCAGATCAGTGGAGTGATGGGGCTGGCTTGACCATGCCGGTGGCGAGCGCTCCCATTCATGCCACACGTGCCGTGTCGGTGGCGACCGCTCCCATTCACACCACACGTGCCGTGTCGGTGGCGAGCGCTCCCATTCACACCACACGTACCGTGTCGGTGGTGAGCGCTCCCATTCACACCACACGTACCGTGTCGGTGGCGAGCGCTCCCATTCACACCACACGTGCCGTGTCGGTGGCGAGCGCTCCCATTCACACCACACGTACCGTGTCGGTGGCGAGCGCTCCCATTCACACCATACGTACCGTGTCGGTGGTGAGCGCTCCCATTCACACCACACGTGCCGTGTCGGTGGCGAGCGCTCCCATTCACACCACACGTACCGTGTCGGTGGCGAGCGTTCCCATTCACACCACACGTGCCGTGTCGGTGGCGAGCGCTCCCATTCACACCACACGTGCCGTGTCGGTGGCGAGCGCTCCCATTCACACCACACGTGCCGTGTCGGTGGCGAGCGCTCCCATTCACACCACACGTGCCGTGTCGGTGGCGAGCGCTCCCATTCACACCACACGTGCCGTGTCGGTGGCGAGCGCTCCCATTCACAACACACGTGCCGTGTCGGTGGCGAGCGCTCCCATTCACACCACACGTGCCGTGTCGGTGGCGGGCGCTCCCATTCACACCACACGTGCCGTGTCGGTGGCGAGCGCTCCCATTCACACCACACGTGCCGTGTCGGTGGCGAGCGCTCCCATTCACACCACACGTGCCGTGTCGGTGGCGAGCGCTCCCATTCACAACACACGTGCCGTGTCGGTGGCGAGCGCTCCCATTCACACCACACGTGCCGTATCGGTGGCGAGCGCTCCCATTCACACCACACGTGCCGTGTCGGTGGCGAGCGCTCCCATTCACGTCGCACGTGCCACATCACCGCATTAGCGGCAAGTCCCCCCCCCCCCCGCCGGCCAGACGTACCGAGTCAGTGGCAGTGAGGGCGTCATGTTGGCGCCGGTCGAGATAGGCGAACAGCGTCTGCATAGCGCGCCGCTCCCTTTCGCAGGTGACCTTGCGCTGCTGCAGTCGCCTTTGTAGCCCGATCGCCACAGACCAGCACATGTGCCGCACGTACGCCCTGATGCCGCGCACCCTGCCGCACAGGTACGAGCCCGCTCAGTGGTGGCGGCCAGCCCACTTCTGAAAGAGAACTCTGAGGTTCTCAGTATGATATATTTTTACTGAACTCTTTGAAGTATGTCTATTAAGGTGTTCGGTATGACCTATTCATTTTGTTATGTTTACATTCTATTGTTATTAGCCATATTTGTTGCGTTTTGGATCGTGTATTTCAGGTACCAAATACACAGAACACCTGGCCACCTACGTGTTCGCCATGCGAAAATTTTCCCATTCCGTGCATATTGTAAAGCATGCTGTCATGTATCAGCCCACGACAAATCATCCGCGGATAGGGAGTGTCCCATTGGTGCGTTAAGGATAGGTGCATTTCAAGAGGATGTCCTACTTCTGAAGCACAAAAACATGCCCTGATAAGTCCTTAGGATCTGTCATAAGTACTAATAGCGCGGGATAGTGCAGCCGTTTCACCAATAGCATATTTTAAGCATAATTATTATATTCATTTCTGAATCTAATCTTTGCGTTTTACATTGCAGCACAACGTTACTTTTCGTTTGGACAATACTATCGCACGTAAGACACCCCCTAGCAATATCAAGTTCACGGTAGTTCTGGGTCGTGGTTCATTTTTATATATAGTACGTATATCGTGAAGGAAGGTTGTCCTAGACATCATGTTGTCATTTTCAGCGTGTGATGACTAGATTTTCCAAAACATCGCACATTTATTACAAAAAAAACATCGTTTGCATCCGAAATAGACATTTAGTTGGATGGAGATATCAAAGAGTTAGGATTTAGTACCGAGACAAGCCACTGATAGCATCCAAGCAGTGAAGTACAACAAGATTTTCTTATCATGTCGTGTATTGCATTAGTGTCTTTTAAGTGATCAGTACCTATTTCTACCCTATTTGTATTTTTCAGCGCCTCCTTCAATTTTGGTAAGGACATGATTGATATACTACTACAGCTAAGACATAATTCTGGAAGCTTTAGAGCCGTACGGCGTACCGAAAGGAACTAGCAGCGGAGAAACATACGCAATCACCTCACGAACCCTATTTTTTCAACTTGTTCTCGCAAAAACCGTTTCCGAATGGGTTGTTATGGAAAAGTGAGCCAGAAAGCTTTTGATATCTACATTTTTCGGGCCATGAGTCAATGCAGCCCTCCAGTTAAATAAGATACATATGGTGAACTAGTTTGACCTTTGACCTTATTTTTTGGAGACATGGTGTATTAGATTTTGTTTAAATCGGTATGACATAAGATACGAATTTATCGACCAAAATAAGGCGCTTTAGTTCAGAGCACCTTTTCTTCTCATGATGAGTTCCAACCCAATTTCATATGAAGGCTATCGATGTGCTGTGAGCACTCGGAACGCACGACGCTGCCGTCTACGCGACTCGGCAAGAATGGCAGGAACAGAGATCAATTATTACGCGTTTGTCATTCAGATGCTCTTCTAAATCTGAATGTCTAAATGACCGTTTTTAATATCGAAATGAACGGCTTCCATTGGAATGAATGGCTTCCAGGTCACCGTCACAGTTCCCGCCGGAGTGAGTCGACCTCGTCCGGTCACCCGATACCGGCCAGTCGGCTTATGGCGTACCTGCCTGCGTGATCTCTCAATGGTCAAGTTTGATTCGCGACCGATCTTAAAAAGATTCTGACGGTTTCCTCATCGGTTTGAAAGGCAGTAGATTGGTCTTAAACTACGTGTCGGCTTAAAGAAAACCGAATGAACAATGTAGCTTATAAAATGAGGGCAAAGTTCAAGTTAGGTTTTACTCCATAAACGTTTTTCGCTAAAATAGGTTGAAGGATAGTATTCGTGCCACCATCGCGTGCTCTCATGTGCTCCTAGGTCCTCATCGACGCGTCGCACGGCTCTAAACCTTGCTGGTCCACAGTTTGGTGTATAATTTCCGCGTATTCGTGCATCATCAAATCTGAAACGGTTACCGTAGTATCCTCCCGTCAGATTGTTCTGAAACGGCTCACGTAAGAAACGCATTTCATCACGCGCATGCGTGAGCAAGCACGGAATAGCATCGGCTCTGTGACAATAGCGACACCATTTTTTATGAACCGCACATAAGCCAACGAAAATCACCATTCTTGGTGCAATGCTTTGGAATTGTCTAAACTATTTGGCTCCTTCACATAGTGCAAATAGTGAAGGGAAGCTTATCATCTGTTTTGGCGAAGGATTAATGCACTGAAAAGCTTTTGAAATTACTTTTTAATGTTACTGAGAAATTTTAGCACATACTAAACACTCTGACAAGGGAAAATTGCAATTTTCATGTCATTTCAGTAACACGCAGCAGGCAAACCACATGAATTCATTTAAGAATGCTTTTACGTTAAACAAGATATTTTATGGATATTTCTTCAGCCCATGCCTTTAGTCCATCCAAATTCTAGGAAAATACTATGACTGACAACGAGCAATGCGCATTGGTCGAAGGCGCTGGATGCGGGCTGCTCTATCATTGATTTTGTCGTTGCTGTGTGAAGCAAAGCGGACTTTTGGGATAATTTCATTCAGGGACCATTCATCTTTGATCATGCTAAGGTATGTAAGCCCTGCAAGCTCCTGTAAATACTGTAGTAAGTTCTGTAAGTACTGCATACCTATGGACAGGGACGCTACAAGGATACAGTCGCGCAGCCAGAGCTTTGGCACGGGGAGGGGGGGGGGGAAGCTGACAAAGGGCCCCAAATCACCGGATGAAGCCCGTTTGTTAATAAGGGCGTGCTTTTCTTTGACATTTTTTCCATTTTTCCTTCTATGACTGGAATAGAACGCAGAAGCTACCGCTGAATAACTGACCTCATTTTATGGTCCATGAACTGAACAAATCATGCTTTAAACGATTGCATGAAATAAATAGCCGGCGCTCTCAATTTTAGAATGGTCCAGTGGACTATTTCTAAACTGGTACGAGCTCGGAGGCTTCTCCAGAACTTTTATCTGGGTTCTACAGAGATTTTCGGGACTCCGCGAATGCACATTGTAAATAGAAATAGGGCAGCCAATTGCATTGAATTGGCTAAGCCATGTTTGTCCAAAAATGTTCAACATTCAGCCAGAATCGATTTGGGATACAAATCAGGTGCGCACTTGTGAACGTGCGCGCCCGCAAACCTTGGAAAAATCTCCATTCCGGGCGTCGCAGTCTCCATAGGCCGCGCACCGACGGCTTCATGGCTAAACGTAAGCCGTGGCTTACGGATGGACAAAAATGATGAATCTGAAAAAGTACCTTTGGATGCTTTGGAATATCAAATCGTACGTTTAGAAGGAAGTGCGAGCATATATTTCGGCGCTGCGATTTTTATACTGATGCTGTGAAGGATTGACATTTACAGCGCCAATAATTGCTGCTGGCTTGAATCTGGTGGTGGAGTTAGAGGGGAAAAGGAAGAATGTCTATTTTTTGTGTTACTGTAACTGTTTATCTGTGCAGAGAACAATCTTAAAGTTGTGAAAACATGTGCCAGGCATTATCTTTGGGTGGTTCGAAGTAATTTTGAGACATTTGAAACCATTTATTCATCACGGTCGTTCTCGCGTGGGACGCGTGGTGTTATCTATAGTGGCCGACGCAGTTCGGTTTTGTGGAAACTGTGACCCAGACCATCGCCGTCCATGCTCCCGAGATTTTGGCTGCGCATGCTGAAACCTTTTGACGTAAGTTGCTTTTCTTAGCGATTCTGGAAAAGAATGGACGTTCTCAGACAATCATGGGATGGCCCTGTTTGTTTTTTAAGTCATTTCGATCCACTCTTCAACACGAGCGAGACCCTTTATTCCTTTCCGGGCAAGGGGCCTCTTGAGTAGAACACTAGGGGGCACATTACTGTTCCCGGTCAGGAGCTGAAGGGCCATTCCGTCCTAGCGCGGGGTGCCTCCTAGCTGCCCTTCTGGCGACACGCGGCGTAATCCTCTGGTCAACCCGGAGGCCCTGCGAGGGCTACATCATATCACACTGGTCCCCTCCTGAAGTGGGAGGCCCTCTGACCCGCGCGGTTGGCCTCGGATCGACGCAGGAACCCGCACTGACGCAAGAACATCCGTGATCGCCATAGGTGTTTCAATAATTGGCGCGGAGATTCCAGTTTGACCTAATGGGCCCATGCTGGAATTGGGATGGAGGGCTCAACGCTCGATACTGCGGCACTGACTGGTGCAAAACCCTTTCATGTTCTCAGTGTTAACACTCATCCCAAGTTATACTATTTTCATTAACAGGAGGCCCGACCAACGTAAGAGGTCCTGTGTCGTTCAGGGACCCGTCCCCGTCCCTGTCAAGCAAATATTCTCCTGACCGACACGAGGCCTTTTGTGAGCACAAAACATCCTGTTAGGCACTGGGTCCCCAACCAATACATGGGCCCCACATATCACAGGGTGCTGACCAATGCAAATCGCCGGCCCGGCCTTGTGCCTCCTTAGGAAATGGGCCCCAACAGCTCAGACCGACACGGAGCTGACTGTTCGGCATTGGTGATCTCTGGTCGAAAAAGAGGATCTCTCTGTCCCAGGGCTCCCCAAACGGTACAAGAGAAACTCGAACCGACATTTGAGATCACGGCCCTACGGACGTGACTTAATGACCCTTCTCCTTAATAACCCTTCTCTTGATGACTCCTTAATGTGACTTGCAGTGACTTAATGACCCTTCGGGCCATTAAGCCTTTCAATGAGGCTCTTGACCTTTAGTCCGGAGGTGTCCTTCGGCCCTATTCGGGCCTTCCCAAACAAAGCCCGTGACCGAATCGGTCCACTAGCCGACACGTGATCCGCTGTTAGGCACTGTGGGCCCATGACTGACACTGCGACCCCGACCATTGCTTCAGGGATCGAGACCGATGCAAGTGGTGGACCCCGTCTCTGCTCATGCTTGGAAATGTGCCCTCAGGGTTCAGACAGACGGTGAGCCAGCTGTTCGGTGTTCGTCTGGTCTCCGGCCTCTGGCCGACCGAGACACCCGCATGGTCTCAGAGTCCTCAAACGGTGAAAGAGGATTTCGGACTGATATT